TCCATCTCACACCCACTATCCCTTTCTCTCCCTCCGTGAGGTTTCTTGTGTTCCACACACACACACTTTGTCCCCCTAAGGCCCTTCCCTGGCACCCCCACCCCTCTCGTTTCCCCCAACACCCCTGCGTCCTTGTTCCATTGGTTCCCCTTTCCCTTTCTTTGCCCCCAAGTTTCCCCTTCACCTCCCAGCCTCACATCTCCGCCCGCCCCTTTCCTCTCTCCGTCTCCCTCTCCCACGGCCCTCGCCGTCCCGCCGGCCCCGGGGTCCTCTCCCTGGGGCCCCCAAGCCCTCCCCCGCCCCCTCTCCAGGCCCCCTCGCCCTCGCCCTCGCCCCCTGTTTCTCACTCCCCGTCCCTGGCAGCGGCCCCTCCCTCACCGATGGTGGAGATGAAGGTGGTGTTAAAGGCGTCCTCCGAGAAGCGGAAAAGGAGGCAGGTCTTGCCCACCCCCGAGTCGCCGATCAGCAGCAGCTTGAACAGATAATCGTACGTCTTCGCCATCTTCTCGCTCCGGCCGTCTGACCCGGGAGCGAGAGCAGCAGCGGAGCGAGGCGGAGAGGGGGCCGCGGCGAGGGGGCGTGCCCGCCCAGCCGCCGCTCGCCCCGCCCCTCGCCCCGCCCCTACCCTAGGAGAAGGCCTGCGCGCCCCGCCCCGCGTGGCCAATCCGCGGGGGTTTTGTCATCACCGCCCCGAAACCCAGGGCTTCATGGGACTTGTAGTTCCTTCGAGGAGCTTCGGGCGTGCCTGGCGCGTCTGGCTCTGGCCGTGCGGACTGCCCCACAGGATAAAAGAAGGTCCGCTCTGGGAGGGGCGACCAGGTGCACTAGGCGTTTCCATCCAAGTGAGGAAGGGAGGCCCAGTTTCGAACTCTGCGTATCGCGCCTGTGGGTTATCTGCAGTGCATTATCGGGTTCTCAACTTCGTCATTTCTTTTGTGTGCGGGCTGCTTTCAAATCCAGGACCTCGGAATCTGAATCCCGCGGTTCCTGCATCTCTGCCGCCGGGACCCAGAGCTGAGATGCTTTCTTTCCTTATCGCTGCTGTGGCACAGCGTGTGGATTATCTGCAGTGCATTATCTGGCTTCTCCTTCAGTGCCTGCCCTGCACCACCTCTAAGCCCCCTCCCGCAGCTCCTCAGTTACAGAGCTGGAAAAGAATGATTGCCATTCTAACTTGAACCACACTCCTGTGCTCTTCTTCAGACTTCCAGACCAAAGCCAAATACGATGGGTATTTTAGGGGATCTGCTATGCAGACCACTCCCCGCTCCCCGCAGGAGGATGGATAAAAAAAAATCTTGGAATTGAACATAGTAGGATTGTGCTACAGGTCTAAGCCCTTAAAAATTGCAAGCATCATGCGAGGCAGGAACGATGACTACGGGAATCTAGAGCCTATGATTTGGATTTTGTCTTAGTTTAGCTGTGCCTCGGTTTTCTCCTCTGTAGAATGGGTATAAAACTAACTCTTTCATAGGATTGTAGGGAAAACTAAATGTGAAAACACTTTGAAATCCACAAGGCCTTGTACAAATGTTAATAGTGATGGCTCCCTTCTTCAACCCTCAGAAGACAGGCCCTCACTTAATGGATGACAAATGAAGGAGCGGGAAGCAACATTCTGTCATACCTGATTTAATCCTTTATTTACTATCTTAGACTATTTTTTTGTTTTTGTGGATGTACTACCATTCAGGCCTCTTTCATTCTCTAGTAGCAGAAACCCCATCAGACCAAGTTCTCCAGAAAGTAGAGTTTACTGGCTCAGGTAAAGCTGAAGGACAAATAAATAGCTAAGGAGGTCTGGACCAGTCAGGGCTCTCTGTCTCTCATCTCTTCTTTTTCCTTCTCAGTTTTAATTCTAATATGTCAGATACCAACAGATAAGACCCACATGAACAAAAACTCTTTAGGGTCCTCAATAATTTTTAAGAGGATAAAGGGGTCCTGAGGCCAAAATATTTGAGAAACTGGCCTAGGCATTTACCTTAGATCAAAGGAAACAACTTCTGGTAGGTTATAGGAGGTTATTAAGGGAACCAGTGGACCCAACCATTAGTGGAATAAAGAAAAAACATGGACAGTTAGTTGAACAAGATAGCAGGCTTTTATAAAACACATCTTTGTGACTTCATATACAATGACAGTGATATTTCATTCTTCGTCTTGGTATGAAAGATTTAGTTGGCCCTAGTGTTGGCCTTCACCTATATGGAAAGAAGATGAAATATATCATTAATTCACACCTATTGATCATATAGTACCCAGAAGGTTGCTGTTAATCTAAAGCAGTGATGGCGAACCTTTTGAGCTCGGCGTGTCAGCATTTTGAAAAACCCTAACTTAACTCTGGTGCCGTGTCACATATAGAAATTTTTTGATATTTGCAACCATAGTAAAACAAAGATTTATATTTTTGATATTTATTTTATATATTTAAATGCCATTTAACAAAGAAAAATCAACCAAAAAAATGAGTTCGCGTGTCACCTCTGACACGCGTGTCATAGGTTCGCCATCACTGATCTAAAGTCTAATTCCTAGAGCCCACTTGATGGGAACAAAGCTCTAAGGAGCTCAAAAGTCACAATTTCTGCTGCCTAATGAGGAGGGTTTCTGCCTTCTGCCCAGGCGGACTCTCCTTGCCCATCAGTTCTTGGGCAAGTCTTTGAACTTGCTGAGCAAAGACTGAACAAGTGTGGACAGCTCAGTGCTACATGTTCATCTTTATTCTGAAAAAGAAAAAAGATATCTGCAAAGACAGTGGGATCTTTTTTATAAAATGTGTGCTGATTAAAGTAACTTTTAGTCCCACTATCTGCATGCAACTGTTGGCATTCTCTTTTTGTGTGAATAAGAACACACTGCTCTGGCCCTTGTGGCTCAGTTGGTTAAAACATCCCCCCATGCACCCAAGGCTCTTGGGTTCAATTCCCAGTCAGGGCATATATCCAGATTTGGGGTTTGATCCCCAGTCAGGCCACGTGCTGAGGCAGCTGATGGATTTTTCTCTCTCCCGCTCCCTTCCTCTCTTTCTAAAAAAGATTAATAGAAAAATCTTAAAAAAAAAAAAAAAAAAAAAAAAAAAGCCCTGGTTGGTGTGGCTCAGTTGGTTGGAGCATCCTCCCATATACCGAAAGGTCTCAGGCTCCATTCCCAGTCAGGGCACATACCCAGGTTGCGGGTTCGATCTCTAGTTAGAGATCTCTATCCATGTTTCTCTCACATCCGTGTTTCTCTCTCTCCCTCTCTCTTTAAAATCAATAAAAATGTATCCTCAGGTGATTATTTTAAAAATAAATAAATAAATAAATAAAAAGAACACACTGATGTGGTTTAAAAAAACCTAAGGTCAGAAAAGAAGCTAGAGTTAGGAATTTTAAAGTCCCTAAATTTCCTTAGGGGAATTTTGTTAATTGATGGGAATTTTTTAAAAAAATTCTGTTTTATTCTCACTTCCCTGGTCTTTCTCTGCTACCAAGTGTATATAACATTGTGACTTTCTAACAGGTAAGTCTGTGCACCACCATTGAACCATTCAAGCATTTTGATACATTGACATTGCTTCGAAGAATCCCATTTTTTCTTTTATGCATTGTTCATCTTCATATTTTGTGCAACAGTATGTTACTTAGAAATGAGGTTTTGGTGGTAGTAACAACACTATTGAATCAAGGCATTTTGCTCAAAAGACTGGACAATCTATTTGTAGATCTAAAGGTACCAAAGGTGACAGGTTGCCACTTTCTTTCTCCAAATGGCATCTTTAGATCTCTTTCTAAAGGAAACCACATCAATACTCTTGTGCCAGTTACCCAAACCCACCCTTGAAATACTACATCACTGCAGAGCACTAGGTGGACCAGCACATTCAATTTGACCTTGAAAATGTTTATTGAAGCTTTTGCCCATGGCAGCTTGACTTACAGAAATCTAGATGTCCAAGTAGTCTACCCTCTGTGTTTTTTGTCAAGCCAGCACTTTTTCTTCCTGCTTTTTGGGAGCTGCTCCTCCCTAACTGGTGACTGTGAATCATGGTACTTTACTCCTCCAGCCACAGAGATGGGCATATGACCGGGCTGGGTCAATCTGAGTTCTTCTCTGTGCATTTTCTAATGATGCAGAAAGGAAGTCTGTGTGGTGTGAGGTCTCTGTGAGCTTTTGGTTTTGATCAGACTCCAGTTCATTTTTCTGTAGTCTCTTGTTGCTGCCCTCCTCGATATGTTTAGTTTATACTCAGGCTAGCTTCACTCACGGTAGCAGGCAAGACTGCCGTGTTGCACAATTCCAAAGGCATTATTTACTTCTTACAGTAGTTTAATCATCCTGCGGGTTAAAGACCTCCAAGAATCTACAAACATATTCATGAGGGTGTATGTGTTCTCTAGGCAAATTTTCAAATCAATTCAGGCATTCTTTAACTGGTTTAAATTGCTCCGTGACACTTGAGTGCAAGAAATGTCACCTTTCTTAATTGCTTAAATGAAATTATATTTGGCTGAGACTCCTACTTGTCAAGGGCTGGCACAACTGGTAGCAATCGTCATTGGGACTTTTCCTCCCTTTAATTGTATCTTACAAGAATCCAGGCACTTGCGTGGTCCTGAAAAATTAGGGACAAAATATCTTCTGGCCATCAGTCTGCACCCATGAGTGTTGACGCTTCTGCCCAACCACTCTTGAGTTCTGGTCCTCTGCCATCTGTTGAGCACAGCTGTCCCGGTGGGCTACAAAGATGTCCTTCACGGTGATTATTTTCACTGACTGATGACTCAGCCATCGAATAAGCTGTCTCTCTGTTATCTAATAATAGTTTGTGTACTTCTTTGTCTTCTCCCTTAAAACTTGAGCTGATGGAGAAAAAGGACATTGCTAGTTTTTCACTTTGTTCCCAGCATGCCTCGCATGATGCCTTACACACATTAGGTACCCAACTGAGTTGTTGAATGGATGAACAACTGACTATCATGCCAGCAGTCAACGTATTTTAAAAACATCTGGGACACCTTCAGTTTATTATTTGCCACAAGACTTAGGTATTTTTGGCCTCACCAATACCTTTCTGGTTGTACTCTAGCTTGTATTTGTATGTTATTCATTTTCTAAGTATACTATTCATTGTTGTGTTTAAGAAATTAGTGTTATCCTATATTATTTCTCTAGCTTGTCAAGATCGTATTGAATGATAACTCCTCAAAAACACCAATTTCTCTTTATCACCTGTGTGTCATCAAAAAACATGCTATTTGTTTAGTGATGTTCCAGTGGATAATTCTATAATTATCTTTATCAGAGAGGGACACACTATACTCTTTCTACCCACTGATGTTTCCTGAGTAATCACTGGGTGAATAATGTCCACTCAAACAAATATTCATTAAGCTCACACTATACAACCAGCTCAGCTAGGCCACCTGGAGGATACAGAGGTCTATCACGTGGTCCCTGTCCTCAGTTTATTTCCCAGCTAATGGAGGAGAGAACGCACAGGTGAAAAGTTTAATGATAAATGGGAGGCAGATATTTGGCTGGTACACACTTCATTTATTCTGATGGGTCAGGTGTCCATCCTGATTGGTTGGTTTTAATTAAGATTGATTAAGCATTCATTCTGATTAGTTGGGTGTCCATTTTAATTATTTGCACATACACTATGATTGGTTAGACTTCCAATCTGATTGGTCAAATGTTCATGCAAAACTGATAGTAAAATATTTTGTATATCACCACTGGATGTAAAAGTTAAATAAAAATGACATAGAAATACAAAAAAATTGCTACATGAAAGTACAGAATCCACTTGAACAACCAATCTCTATAAGCCTAACTTCTTATAACAAAGTCAGCAAGGCATAGAGAGGATGAAAGGACAGTCTGCATTTCTCAGACCTGGGTTAATGAACATAACTGAATGGGAGGCTATCTATGGCATGGGCCCCTAGAATATAGGCAAAGGCCATGGTCAATGCCCAGATGAAGGCAAAATTCTTTTCTTGGGAGTAAGAACCTAATCATCCAGAATAGAGAAGAAGCCACCCAAATTGCAAATATTCTGGGTGGCTCCATTTCTGGGCAGAGTCCAACCCACAGAAAGGGGAGGTAGAGCGTAGCCTGCATAGAGAGTCAGCTCAACATTACTCCACTAAAGGGTGGATGGGAATGAGCCGTTCTTATACCGCTTATATTATTTCTTTCTCTGATAATAAAGTTTCTGACAATAAAATATGTTAGTAAAACTCATTCCTTTCATTACCCTCGGCATTGCTATATAGGATTTTGTGTCAAATGGGGCATATTCAGTAAGTCCTAGGAGATTTGAGGATAGTCTCACATAAGCTAAGTGATTAAATAAAGACTTTTGGGACCAACTTTAAAATGGACACTGACCCAAAGGCAAAGTCAAGATGTGTCAAAGCTCACAATCAGCATCATAACAGGTATTGGGAAGCATGTGGTAGTAAATAAAACACTAAATGGCTTAACTAGTAAAACTATTTATTCAATCACATACTGAAATAATAAGAAATAGAGGTAGGGACAGGTGAGTAATCCAGCAGCTCAAATGACATGCAGGAGACCCGGTGTCTCTCTTTTGGTTTCTTAGCAGTGCTTCCTCAAAGTAATACTTATTTCAACAGGCTGGCCCCAGGTGGTTGCAAAATGTCTTTCTGAAACTCCTGGGACTCCTTGCTTCCAGATTCAAACAGCAAAATGTACAGCATCCTCTTTTTCAAGAGTTCAAATAAATACCCTAGAACAGTGATGGCGAACCTCTTGAGCTCGGCGTGTCAGCATTTTGAAAAACCCTAACTTAACTCTGGTGCTGTGTCACATATAGAAATTTTTTGATATTTGCAACCATAGTAAAACAAAGATTTATATTTCTGATATTTATTTTATATATTTAAATGCCATTTAACAAAGAAAAATCAACCAAAAAAATGAGTTCACATGTCACCTCTGACACGCGTGTCATAGGTTCGCCATCACTGCCCTAGAACTAACTGAGTTCCCTGGGCCCTGACTGCCCTTCTGTGAACCAACCCTGGGGTCCAAGAAGATGGCATAGGCCAATTGGCTTAAGCCACTGAGGCTGAGTGTGGGGTCAGACTCATCCTGAATCACTGGGTTATGTTAGAAATAGAGGAGACAAGGCTGCAGAAGCAACAAATGAATACCTCCACCTGTTTCAGTGTCAAGTGCATATTGATAGTTGTACCAAGTACTGCTAAGTGGTTGGTTATGTAGACATTTCTGGAGAAGTCCTGGAGCTGAATACAGGAAAAGTCTGACTTGTCATTCTCTCCTTTTTAAAAAAATATATTTTATTGATTTTAGAGAGGAAGGGAGAGGGAGAGAGAGATAGAAATATCAATGAGAGAGAATCATTGATTGGCTGCCTCCTGCACGCCCCCTACTGGGGATCAAGCCCGCAATCCAGGCATGTGCCCTAGGCTGGAATCAAACCTGGGACCCTTCAGTCCGCAGACCGACACTATCCATTGAGCCAAACCAGCTAGGGCATGACTTGTCATTCTCTTAAACAAATCTCAACCGGGAAGAAGAGGCAGGAAAGAAACATTGTTTTCTAAAGAAAGGAGGTGTGGTCCAAAGCTAGAATTAATGTAAGCGCTTAGACACCTGGTCCCTTTCCTTCCTTACTTCAGCAACCAGCTAAGGTTAAGCACTTTGGCAGCCTAGAACTTTGCAAGTTCTCTATCAGGCTCTGTCAAGTCTGTCCTGGGATTCTGGAATGGAAAGAGGGGTAGACTAAGCATCTGGTGATCTGGGTTCAGTTCCCAGCTCTGCCATTAACTAGCTCTGTGACCTTAAAAAAGAACAACCTTTCTGTGCCTCAGTTTCCTCATCTGTAAAATGGGGGAGGGGGGGCTGGATTAGATAATCCTTTTCTATCTATAAAATCCTTTGGCTCTCGAATCCAAGCTCCCATAACAGGTGACCTAAGGTTTGCCATGGGATTTCTAGTCTTACAGACAAACCAAACACCCTGGTGAATTAAAGGGATTTATCAACAGCCTTCAGGCCTAGGGGATCCCAGGAGGCCAGGCAGGGTGTGGTGCTGGGAAAGGAGCCCAAGACACCTAGTTCCTTGTTCTAAATAGCATTCAGTTCACCCTATGACTCAGTTATCAGCACTTCTCTCTTTCGGAGGAGTGAAAAGTTTTAGTCCTCTCTGTGCTGACAACAATTTATTGAGTTGCCAATCTATAGGGTTAAGAGAAAAATGAACTTCTGCTTTGTATTTTGAACCATATCCAAATCAGACTCCTACCTCAAATTACGACTTAATAATTTTTCCTTAATCATCTTTTTCCTGAATCATAGAATATTTCCCCCCAATTTAACAACAAGTGCTTACAGATGGAGTTAATTAGAGAGCAGGCCGGGTACCCAGAACTTATGATAAAACACACTCTCTCTCTTGAAATTCCTTGCTCTCACTGCTCAGGCAGAACTGAAGAGTTAATATGAAGTCAAGCAGAACTCTTTGATTACTCATTTTTAAGATTTACAATTATGTATACATGATGGTGACAACCTAATAGAATGTTGAACAAATAAGGCAGAATAGGTGATTCTTTGGATCAAGGGTGAATACTCAGGCTAAGGAAAACTGCTAATGAAATTCCAATCACATGGTAATTTCCCACTTATTACTTTCTGAAACTCAAGTAGCTGTATGGTCTAACTGGGCCTGTTCGGGGGATTATCACAACATCTCACTTCTGCAATGAGTGGCGTCATTGGACATTTAATATTCTTTAAGGCTTTTATGAAACAGAGAGGTTTCCATATGTCTCTGGAGCAAAACATTTGTGTTTGCCATCTGCTACTCAAGAGCATTTTGTCGAAAAAGAATACAAATCGCTTGGTTCTTTAATTACTTCGAGGTTAGGCTATGTGATAGTTGGGACTGAGGGCCAGTCAGTTCACTACTAGGAGAATACTGTTGTTTACTTAGGCACCAACTTAAAGAATTCTTTACAAGCAAATGACCTGAAAAGACATGGAAGCCTAATATCATCGTTGTCCTTTTAACTCAATGCAAAGACCATTGTGAAGCGATATGTGAGATTTTTAGGAGTTGGCCTTAGGGAGACACTATCTAGGACACTGGACTTTAAGGTCAGTTTAGCAAGCATCAGTTTCTCTTTCTGAGTCCTGACCAGAGAAATATATGACTCAACACTTCAAAACAATAATTAAAGGCTCTCCTGGAGCTCAGTATCAAAGAAAAGGTAATTTAGTCTTAATCACTCAGGAGCTAATAACCTGGGCTTTGGACTCTGTGCCATTTGTTTTTCCTTCCACCTTCTCGTTAGCTTCTTGAATTGTAGATAATTCTCTGCTCAGTAACATCTCCACTAGCCTATGGCTATAGACCATCAGTTGTGCTTAATCAGAAGTAACTACAAACAACAGAGTTTATCCAAAAGTAGAAATCCTGGAGCTTACAGATTATCTGTAGATTTCTATTATTGATGCGTCTTCTAGCCCTCCTCACCGTAAAATTTCATTCATTGGCGTTATTAACATATGGACTGTAAGAAATTGACAAATGAAAGGGACCTGGTTTGGCCAGAACAGCTATGAGATCCTACCTCATGGAACTCTAATTTCTAAGACTAGTTTCTGCTTTAAGATGCTATAAAACCAATAAATATAGAGATGGTTTATTGTAATGTTTCCAAAGTTCATACCTCAGCATACTGAGTGAGTCAGTAGATATTAGTAGGTGAAACTAGAGGAAAGGGTTACATGGCCAAACCCTTTGGAAAAATGCTGTTATCATAGCGTTTTGATGGTACAACTTCTCAGAACCCTCAATATGCTGATGTGCAGTGTGCACACAACTGGCTGTGGTGTGCACTCTCCCACACTCCTGCCTGAGGCCCCTTTTTGAGCATCTTATGGGACTGTGTCCTGCAGAATATACGTTGAGAAACTCTGATTTAATCTAAACCCTTCATTTTAGATACGAAGGTCTACCTTGTGAAGTCCTCCTGGACCTAGAACACCTGTTCCTGCCTCCCGGGTTTCTCCTGAACCCCAGGGCAGGGCGTCTCATGCAGCTTCTGTCACTTATCACATCCACAGAACGATCAGCCAAGGGGGTGAGGGCGCCAGATGGCTGTTTCCTCCCTACCTGGGGCAGTTGCTTTACCCCCAAATCCTGGGAGACTGGCAGACATTGTATTAAACTGAAGTGAAAGTCATCTTATGTGCAGAGGCAAATTTACCCAGAATTCTAAAGTGCAAAAAACTAGATTCTTAAATGAACATTCTGGATGCTGTTTGTTTGTTTGTTTTTCAGAAAAAACACACACAAACAAAACCAAACACCACTAATGTCAAGTAATTAAGCTAATATAAGCTTTTTTTTCTTTTGTATTAGTCTGTATTTTGAGTGAGTTGTAGGATGTTAGAGGGTCACATCACACCCAGGCTAACTTCCTAGAGTGACATGTAAATTCTGTAAAATGATCTGCACAATAAAATGTTTTTAAAGATAAATTGTTTCAATTTCTTGTAGGCATGGATTATATTCGTATTGTATACCTAATGACTAACACAGGGCTTGGCATATATTAGGCACATGGTGGTAAATATTTTTGCATTAATTAGTAAATTATAATCTGATGATTGGACTTTAATAATGGTAATAATATATTAATGGTATTAATGATATCCTACCTTTTCAAAAATCTCAAAGATAAATTCCTTGACCTGGTTGAGATTTATAAACTGGTTAACACTCCTTATTGTAACCTTTTATTTATTTATTTTTTAAATTTTTTTATTTATTTAAGTTATTACATATGTGTCCTTATCCCCATGTAATCTTTTATTTTAATAAACAATTGCACTGTGATGTGATGTTTCTTTCAGATAATAATAAATGAGCTCACTTCAACATTTGACTTTTAAACTTATGCACACAGACCTCTAACTGGAATGAGCCAGTTGATAATGAGTCCTAACTTCCAGTCATTGTAGAATTCCCCTTTCAGCCACTTGGACTGTATTAAGCATCCTTAGAGACATTGAACATAATAATGAATCTGAAGAAATGTGTGATCCTGGAGCGCCTTCTGAGTCATCAAAGACGGATGAAGTCATGTTGGTAAATTAGTTTGTATTCTATATTTTCATTCACTTAATAAAAACTTTTTTAGTACCTACAGTATATAAAGCAATTCACTAGGTACTATAAGGAAATAAAGATGAAATTTATACAGACCATCCCTTAAGAAGCCTATGTTCTGGAAGGAGAGGTGGGCACACACATAAATAATTACAATGCTAGGTAAAATTAGGATATGCAAGTAATGTGCTATTGTGTTAGTTTATGGTTCTTTCAAATTAGTTTATTTTTCTTACAAAACTGGTCGTCTACAGTTAAGCAGATTACCCAGTGTATTAGAACTCCCCATTCCCTAGCTACTCTGGATAAATAGAAGGCTACATCACTTGGTTATCAGTGATATTAGATTTTACTAGCAGTCACCAGCACCATCAAGAGCCATGCTTCTCATTAGATGGCAAGACAGGACCATCCTAGCAAGATCTATTGACCAGCACTAAGTCACTTACTGTGGACACACAACTCACCTGAACTGGATGGGCAGAGAGGATGGCGTGGGAACCTGACTTGTGGTGGGGAGGCTGTGGGTATGCTTTCAGGAAGTCAGATACTTGTGTGGGCAGCAATGCAGTAGTAGACGGGCCAAGCTGTCAAGTGATAACCAGAAATGGGGTCAGTATAGGCACACAGATTGTTGCTGGCTCTGCAGAGTGGTTTTGACTGAACAAAGAGTGAATTCGTGGGGGAGGAGACTATGGGGGCAGGGGAAAGACCTGTCTCTCCACACCCTAGAAGTCACTACCACCTGATTTTGGGAATTGATTCTTTTATTCTGATTTGGCCCATATTTTTGTCTCCATTTAAAAAGCAAAAAGAAAAATTTAAGAAAATAGTTTATATAACCAACATATGAAGACCATTATGGAAATACCTCCTTTATATATTAGGAACAATGCTGTCAGAGAAGGTGAGACTAAAGCCTTGGTCTGAGCCAAGAGTCCAGAATTCTGTTAGCATTATTAACATATACACATCTCTATATATAAAAGCCTAAGCGACCATTAAGATGGAATGACCAGAATGATTGGTTGCTATGATGCGCACTGACCACCAGGGGGCAGACGCTCAACACAGGAGCTGCCCCCAGCCTGCAGGCCCCAATAACCGATGAGGCCTGCGGGCCAATCTCCCAGTCCCCCCCCTCCCCCCCGCCAGCAGGCCCCGATCACCTGATCAGGGCTGGGACCCAGGCTGGGATGGGGAACTGGGGGTGGGTGGTGGCAGACACGGGTGATGAGGAAAGAAGGAAGGGAGAAGTGGGGAAGTGGGGAGGCAGGGAACCACACAGTGACGGTGCATGGGTGGCGAGGGAAGGAGGAGGCAGGGAACCTGATTGGCCCTGATCGCTGGCCAGGCCTAGGGACCCCACCCATGCATGAATTTTGTGCACTGGGCCTCTAGTGTTAGTATAACACAACAAATTAGCATCAAAGTACACACTTTACACCTTTCCCTATTGACATTTTTGCCTTGAGAATTGATAAAAAATAACTTTTATGTGTGGACATAGTTCCTTTAAAATTAAATGTTGTGAATCATTCATTGTTTTAAAAATTGAGTTAATAAGGAAGCTCATAATTTTAACTTCTTTGCATGTCAAGCTAGGACTATGATCATGACTGATTCTGAGGGGAATGCTATGGACACAGGGATTGGTTTGTCCCATAGCTCCTTGCAACTTGGCTGACGCAAGGACCCCGTCCACAAAGGGAAAGGCAGCACATGCCCACCTGGTGGCCCAGAGAGTCATGCTTTTCTCCTTCCTCCCACTTGGTCCCTTTTGGGGAGACACTAGCAGGGATACCCACCCTAGGATCACCATCTAGAGCTTTGGCATCTGGTTTTTCATGGGAGCTCAACCTCTCCAGTAAAATATTTAAGTATGGAGTTTATTCATTTGGGTTCTAGCCCTTATACCTTCTGGAGACCATGCCTACTGCCCAGAATAAGTAAGTTATCTGTGAAAGGCAGCAAACAAAACACTTGAAACAGCTCATGCCTCTGTGTTTTACAGTTGAACAATTACTTATGCTATCCAGATTTGTACAGGTTCCAGTATTAACTCACACTTTTGGCTTATTTATTATTTGGCCAGATATCATTTGCTCTTAGGTCTTGGCACGAAGAAGCCTTCTCCTGAGGCCCCCTCCTTAGAGACCCCACCCTTGTTCTCTTCTAGTCACTCCTCCCCACTGGGCAAGGAATCCACAGGCCAGGTGGATGTATTTACTCAGAGCCATGCCCCCCTCTTAGGCCACACTCTAGGAATTCAGACCTCAGAATTCCTGCCAAAAGCCCTGCTTCCAAGATTCGTGTGGGCCTCTTATCCTGATCTACCCTTCCAAGGCTGGACTATGTCATTGCTAAGGCACCACAGGCCCAAGAAGTGGCCAAAAGTGGTTGTGATGTGGCCAGAGCTCGAGCTTATGGGCAGGGGTCCCCATTTTGTGTGTGTGTGTGGCCTGTCATGATGTGGGCCAGGTCTGCAGTGGGAAAGAAGGTCATGGGTCAGGGCCAGGACTGCTCTCCATGAACTACCACACTCTGGTGTGGAGCTCTGAGGAGCCAGAAAACTCTAAATCCAAACCCATTTTCCAGGTCATTATAAACATACAGCGTGTCCCAAAAATGCATATACACTTTGAATAATTATAAAAGCAGTTTTTATTAAAATACATTTCATTTTCAAAATTGAGCTTCAGCTGTTAAAGTGTGTATACATTTCTTTTTTTTTTGGAACACCCTGTTTTTCTGTTAAGGTAGGAAACTAACTTGTCAGCTTCAGCTACAATTTTTAAGTATTTAGACACATGATATATGGGCCTCCATTTTTATTCTTGCCCCGGGCCTCACAAATATGGGGCTAGACCTGCTTTTGGAATAGGTTTGATTTTGAGTTTGTTTTAACATCCTATATAATAAAACCCTACTTGCAAATCGACCGAATGGCAGAATGACCGGTTGCTATGATGCACACTGACCACCAGAGGGCAGACGCTCGATGCAGGAGCTGCCCCCTGGTGGTCAGTGCGCTCCCAGGGGGAGCGCCACTCAGCCAGAAGCCGGCTTCATGGCTGGCGAGCACAGCGGCGGTGGCAGGAGCCTCTCCCGCCTCTGCTGCAAGCAGGCGGTAAGGAGCCAGGGATCCTGGACTGCGAGAGCCCTGGACTGTGAGATGGATGTCCGACTGCCGGCTTAGGCCTGATCCCCCAGGCCTAAGCTGGCAGTCGGACATCCCCCGAGGGGTCCCAGACTGTGAGAGGGCGCAGGCTGGGCTAAAAGACCCCCCCACCCCCAGTGCACGAATTTCGTGCACTGGGCCTCTATCCTATATAATAAAAGGGTAATATGCAAATAGACCGAATGGTGGAACAACCGAACAACTGGTTGCTATGACGTGCGCTGACCACCAGGGTGTGTGTGCGGAACATAGAGGGCATTGGCCATGGTGGGATGGTGGAGCAGGTCAGTGGGGCATCAGACCAAGGTAGGGCGCCGGTCACTGTCATCAGGGCAAGCCTCTGGTGGTTACTGAAAATTCTTTGCTCCCGTGTGCCGCAGTCCCGTCCAGTGCTCACACCTGCTGCCGGTGCCGGCCCCGCTTGTACCTGCTGCCAGTGCCTGATGCTGGTCTTGATCACTCAGCGCTATCCACTCAGCACTATCAGTGGGTGTGAGCAGTGGCTGCCAGCCCTGATCGCCCCTGAGGGCTTCTCCACCTCCCCCTGCTCCTGAGGGGCAATCGGGGCAGCAGTCGCTGCTCGCACCCACTGCTGGTGCCGGCCCCAATTGCTCTGTGCCGTCAGCAAGTGTGAGCGGGGCCGGCACCATCAGCAAATGGGAGTGGCGGTGGCGGCAGGAGTGGGGCTGCTGGCAGACAGGGGACCGAGGGCTGCGGTGGGAGGGGCTGGGCGGGGGTGCAGGGGATGGGCCAAGACCTGCCCCTATGCCTACTGCAGCCTTGCGGCCCACAGTTCCTTTTACATGCACAAATTCGTGCACTGGGCCCCTAGTTTATAATATAAAGGATCTGATAACAGAGGGTTGAAGTATGAGTAGTGGGTGGGCTGCTTTCTACCAGGTCAAATGTAGCACAGCTCCCAAGCAACATTCCAACTATGTCTCAGTGGCCCTGTTCCCTGGCCTTATAGGAGAAATTATATGTGTGTGCGTGTATGTGCATGTGTGTATGTGTGTGCACATGCGTGCATGTGCGTGTTTAACATCCATTAAGAAACAGAAGAATATGACTTAGCTATTTTGAAATAATTCAAGCCCCACACTGTTGCTCTGGTTTAGTTTATTGCTGTTCCCCTGCCAAGCAACTCTTCCCAGTTGACTTCCCTAAGCTGCTTGGAGTTAAGAGCTGGGCACTCTGAAGGCCTCTTCCAAGTGAAAAAAAAAGAAACTATATAGAAAGGGAATTGGGCCAGGTGTCCTTGATTGAATGCCACTTCACTTCAGCAAATCTCTAAGCCCTTCTGTCTGTTTTGTCAGCTGTAAAATGAGCAGACTAATTCGGCCCTACCGCGGAGTGGCAGGTTTAATTAATGATGATGGGGACAGGCTTTGTAACGTAAAGTTGTATATACATGAAAAGAAGCACTGGAGCCATATTATCCAAAGTCCGGAGTGCATCCTGCTTTCCACGGCCACAGTTAAGCCGCTAAGTCCTGATCACAGACTGCTACAGACTTCAGGGGTGCCGAAAAGCAGAGTTGGGTCACATTACCTGAACAGAAAGCAGGGTTTGGTAATGGGAGTGGAGCACAGAGTGAGTAAGCAGTGCACGGTTCAGATTTCTGGCGGCACCAGGATCCACTGGGTCCAGCTGGTGGCAGGTGATGGAATGGTTTCTGCAATCCAAGTACAAAGAACAGGTGTACCCATTTATTCTTAACATTGTCCTGGTAAGATCTTTGAGATCTGAAGTATCACACTAAAGGGAGATCTCTTTCCAAAGATCTTGCTGAGCTTCTTCCTGTTGTCCCTGCTGTGGTTTGCTGGCTGACAGCTCACCTTAGAGGTGTTTTCCTCTGCAGCAGTGTGGATCAAGCCTGTCTTATCCTTAGGGGGAACATTCCACAGTTCACTTAAAGACATGGCTACATGACCTACCTTAAGTCATACCCAGCCTGGTGAGAATCACACCTGGGAATTGTTGGTTACTTTGGCTAATACAGTGGGGCCTTGACTTACGAGTGTCCCGACTAACGAGTTTTTTGAGATACCAGCTGTCTCTCGGCCGATTTTTTGCATTGAGTTGATAGAGTAATTTGAGTTAACGAGCTTCTTAACGAGCTCCTTAACGAGCTCGGTCTCTGAACAAATTAAACTCGTAAGTCAAGGCCCCACTGTATGGGATTTCTGTCTCTCCCACACAATTCGTCTAACAACATTCATATACAGCAAATCATAACTTTTATATACTCAGTAGACATGAGCTCTGCTTCCCTTAATCTCCTGGAGCCTTTGTGTTCCTAGGATGGAGTAACATTCCTATTATAACTATAATAGGGGCCCGGTGCATGAAATTCGTGCATGGGTAGGGTCCCTAGGCCTGGCCAGTGATCAGGGCCAATCAGGGCCTTCCTTCCCCTGCTGCAGACTGCCAGCCAGGGCCTTCTTTCGCTCCATGCCACCCCCTGGTGTTCAGCGCAGATCACAGCAAGTGATCAAACTCCCAGTCTCCCAGTTGAACTCCGAGGGGACACTTTGCATATTAGCCTTTTACATATATAGATTTGTACAGCTTCTTCCTTAATATTAGATGACTTTGAGTTCCTTGAAAACCCTGAGAAGATCTTAATCATTTTCTCATTGTCCTTGACATCAGTGCCTTTCTTATAGGAGACACACACAAAAAAACACACACTTGTTCAAATGCATTTAAAATAAAAAGACCTGCCCTAACTGGTTTGGCTCAGTGGATAGAGCGTCGGCCTGCGGACTGAAAGGTCCCAGGTTCGATTCCGGTCAAGGGCATGTATCTTGGTTGTGGGCACATCCCCAGTTGGGGGTGTGCAGGAGGCAGCTGATCGATGTTTCTCTCTCATCGATGTTTCTAACTCTCTATCCCTCTTCCTTCCTCTCTGTAAAAAATCAATAAAATATATTTTAAAAAAATAAAATAAAAAGACCTAATGAGTGAGGAACAACGACAGGAATGGTAATGGGAGTAAAGTGCAGAGTAATCTGCGCATTAAGAAGGCCTAATGCCCATTAGGGAGCTTCATTTTCAAATATTGGAAGATCTAAGTATATTATATTGATTAAGATCAAAGGTTTTCAGCAAGACTTAGACTTATATCTTGGTTCAGCAAGTTACCATCCGTGGGACCTTGGGAATGGTTCTGTGCCTTAGTCCCCTCATCTGTAAGATGAGGACAATACTACTATCCATCTTATACGATGTTGTACAGAGTAAATGAGATAATCCATGGAAAGTGCTTCACTCAGTGCTTGGCACAAAGTAAGCACTCATGATATTATGGTCATCATCATCATAGGCTGTAGGGGAAGGAGTCTGGGTTGCTCTCAGAGCCTAAGAGTAAGTCTTCAGATTTAACAACCGGCCCCCAGAGCTCCCTTCACGCTACCTTATGAATCTGAAGCACTGTCTATTAAGGTCAAAACCTCCAGATTTTCTGCATCTAGCCCCTGATTTCAGATTTTATTCTTTGGATAGTTAAAGAAGTATGAATAAGACAGTTTGCATTCAGACGTAATATGAAGGCTATTTAAAAAGGCACTTTGCACATTAATTACTTGTGTCTGTGCATAAGTAATTTTGTTGGTTGTAAAATATATTGTTAGGCAATGTGGATCCTTGTAAACAGGCTCAGTTCCAAAATACTTTGTATGTTTTTAGTTTAAACTGGCCTCTCCCCTCACCATGTGGTCCCAAGATTTGATTATTCTACATGGGAAAAAATGTTTTTGTTGCATATATTCATCACTGATTTGCTGACACTCGTGAAGGTGTTTTCAGTTAACAAGCTATGTCCAGTTAATGTTCAATGTTTCAGGGAGAAGGGTGAAGACTTAGACCACTGGAGGGAGTAGTCACCTACAGGATCTCCATTCAATCTCTGCCTTTTTTCCTCAGAGCTTTCCCCAGCCCCGTCCTTAGGGGCGGGCCCCAGGAGTCACGATCACCCCAAGTGCCCACAGGTTATTAGAGTAGATACTCCCGGCCCACGCTGAGACAACCAGAGTCTTTTCCAAGGCATCTGGAATTGGGACACGGGCCTTCTGGTCAGTCACTGCTGGCCCTGGAACTAGGACAGCATATAACAGGGAGCTGGCATGGCCATTTTCATTGTGTGTTCTGGGAGGCAGAAAAACTGGAATGTAGAGAAAGGAGACTGAAATGGTGTCAGGGAGAAGTCGAGACGAGAAACCAGGTCACCCCTGAGAGAAGAAGGGAAGTGGCAAAAGAATAGCCATCTCCATTCCCAGTGGCCTCTCAGGGCTTTGTTCTGACCCCCAGGAAGCCCAGCTACCCTTCCTGCCCTGGCCCAGGTCCGGTACACTCTCCGTTTTAGCTCAGGCAAGGTTAGGATGTATCTGTTACGTGAAACCCAAGGAGCCTTGGCTGAGAGTGAGCTGGCACTGAGAGGGAGGGTAAGCCAGAAACTCTGGTTACGCAGGCAGGGTCTGCCTGAGAGGACCACCTGGGTGGCCCAATCACACTGACCTGCCAGAATCAGACACGCACACAAGTAGTTTTCGCTGATGATAAAATTGAAAGGAACAGATTCAGAGTAATTCCTGAAAGAAAGTTCCCTCTTAATCACTTCCTGATATATTTTCTTATGTAGTAGGGTAAATAGGTGGCAGTACAGATGGCACCCCAGAATTTTGTCCAACCCTGAATCCTTCTACAGGGGTGTGCATGCCTGTGGCTGTCATTGGTCATGCCTGTTGCAGAAAAAACAAAAACACTGGACAGGCACTGGTCTCTTCTCATGATCTGTCAGTCCCTGTTGCTGGGCCACTTGACACTCGTCCACAGCTTTGGCCCTGTACCAGAGTCAGCGACAAATCTGTCTCCAGCTGAAGGCTTTGAGGAGCTGTTTCCCTAGTTCAGGGGACACGGTTAGGTTACCCTGTGGCTTGTCTTGCTCTGACCAAATACCCTGGTTCTGGCTCCTGGGCTTCTGCCTTTATCCTGACATAGTCTCAGTTCTGATTCCCTTTTGCAGGACCTGGGTCCTTGATTGCTTGGACTTCAGTCCCTGCCTCCATGGCCTGGCCAGAACCCCGTTCTCTTCAAAATCAGGACTCTAATTTGAGTACATCTATTTTTCCCCATAACATACCTGAAATGCAGACCAAGCTGAGAGTTTTCTGCCTGCCCCTTGTCCTGTCTGACCCACACTGCCAGTCTGGGTCACTTATGCTGTTCTTCCCAATATCTCCCCACCATCCTCCACCCCACTTCACCACTGCCAAAAATCATATTTGCTCCACTTCTGGGACATCTACCTTTTACTGCCTTCCAGATCTAAATCACCATATCACCTTTGACTACTGTGAGGAGCCACATGGTCCTGCAGCTCTGTCTGCCTGGCAGACTTCTGCCCACCGACTTTGGGCACCAATTACAAAGCCTACCTCACAGCAGGGTGACAGGAAGACAGTGTGGTATGGTGGATGAGCATGCCATGAGCATGGGCATCCCGAGTAGATCTGGGTTCAAATCCTTGCTCCTTCACTTGCACAAGTTTCTTAATTCCTCTAGAACTCAAAAGGACTGTTGAAGGGATTACATAAGATAATGCATCTGGCAAAATTTATTAGTTTTTGAATAAAATACAAAATTTAGTACTTAATAAGATACATCTGCCTTTCTTTCCTGCACTTATGTTTTTTAACAGATTTATTGGTATATAATTCACATATCGTTCAACCCATTGGTTTAAAGGATATACTTCAATGGTATTTAGTATATTCCCTGGACTTAGATTCCTTAAAATGCAATTATAGCATAAGGGATATGAGATTTAGTAACAGTTAAAAAATTAAGGATTGTATCAGCTATATGTTTATGGAAATCAATCATGTGGTGCCATTGCATTGCCCAAAAAGCTAATATGATATTGGGCTGTACTGACACATATATGATGAGCAGAATAAGACAAGTAATGGCGCCATGTTATTCTGAGCTGGCAATGTGTTAAGTCATTGGGCCTATTTTAAGAGGGATATGGACAACCTGGAGCACGTCCAGAGAAACATGAAAAGGGTGATGAGAAACTGCAAAGATGTAGGAGCCTGTGATATTCATCCCGAAGAAGTAAAGCCATCCTCAATTAGCGCTGGGGGTGTCATTTGGAAAATAAGTGAAGGTATTGTCTATGTTCCCTTCCTAGACCAGAACCTCAATAGGTGAATTTAAGTTAAAAAGAAGATTTTTACATGATTTAAGGAACAATTAGAGCTATCTAAAATTGGAATGAATTGTTCCTTCCTAACCTGAAATTCTATATTTAATATAAACCTCTTTATCTGCAAGTCAGAGAGAAACATCTTATAGAGCTCTTACTCTGTTATATGTTGTGGTCAGGTGGGCAAAATGATAAAGTCAGTCAACTCTTCTTTATTCAAGGGCATCCAGTTTGGGTTTGTCTAGTAGTCCATTCTTTCTCTTATTTTTCATTCCCATTCTCTGATTTTTGACCTGAGGAAGGAGAAAAGGAAGCCCAAAATTGTCAATATGGATATTTTATTAGCAGTTCTGATGATAACGGCAATATTCCTAAAATTACATTTTGGCATTACCTGAGATTGTGCTCATCTCTTCCCCATTCTGTGTAAACTAACTTCATCGTAGTACTTGACTTTGGCCATGGTGGCAACATTTATGGAAATTAGCAAACACTGCAGATCAGTAGCACAACTCTCCCCCGCAGCTCACTTCCCAGTGCTCCACTGCTTCAGTCTCTGCTACCCAGTGACTACCAAGCTGGCACGAGTAATAATGAAGACAGACCTTCTACTATATTTTGGACTATATGTTTCTATAAAAAATATATCTAGAGCCAATGGTATTTACTTTATGTAAGGGCAATTTGGAATTGAAGTAGTTTAATATAGTTAACTAGTTTCAGATGAGTGGAATATTTAGGAGAAAATATTTGTGGAAGACTAGTCTCGATCTCCACTGCCTTCTAGGCCACACCTTTTTCCTTCAGAAAAAATCCAAATAATCACGGTCTGCACAGCTGCTTTCAGAGTGACCATGCAACAGACGGGGAAGACATCTCCAAGACGAAGGCCCTCTGGAAGCAGAAAGGTACAGCTCTCCAAGGCCAGTGCTTGTCCCACACAAGTGCCTCCTTGTGCCACCTGTTGGATTTTGAAAGAGCAAGCTCTCAGCTTTTAATCAAAGGTAAGACTCCTGCAAACTTCCTGCAGATGGAATGTATTCACAATCTCCCCTCAGGCAGGACTGCTGTAAAAACATTGCATTTTACAAATTATTTTAAGGAAATCACCGTCGGCCCAAGATTCCCAGAGCCAAATGATTTTTATATTATCAACAAGCTCTAGCAATTACAGTTGGGCATTTATTGAGCACTTACAGCATACTATACACTTTACAATATTATCTCACTTTATATTCATTTAACCTTATGAAACAGGTATAAATATTTTCATTTTACAGATGGAGAAACAGCTTAAAGAGGTTAAGTGGCTGTTAGAGTTAAAAAGTTTCTGTGCTACTAAGAAACAGGGTTTCTATTACCTACTGCTTTGTATACAGCAGACATTTCATAAATAGTTGAATAAGTTCTTTAATGTGAATAAATAAAATACCATTCTTAATACTTTGAACCCTTTGGCTCATTAGACTTTTAACCAGCTTTCATCTAATGGTAAACAGAATGATTCCATTTATTTTGCCTGTACACACTTTCCAAGGGAAGAGCTCATTTTAAAATCTGACCAACCCCACAATGACTTAGGATTGTTTTCCCAGTTTTAGAAACAAGGTAACTGAGGCTTAGCCAGAATTAAGTGGTCTTTTGGTCTTTTCATCACACCAGGTTGTGGCAGAGGAAAACGGTCAAAAGGCATGCATCATGAAAAACCTAGTAAAGTTACAACTGAAATAGAAGGGTTCCGATAACCTAGTGGTGCAATAGTCCTCAAAGAATGACCATCCAGTTAGCTACATTGAGTATAGCACTCAATGGACACATCCCTGCACTTATTATGCATGGCACTAGGCATGTGGGGGGATGAGACCAAATCCTGATCTTAAGAAGCCTGTGGACTTTTAGGGAAGAGAAGACATAGACACAAAAATACAGGAGCTGAAATTACAGTAAAAAGGCATAAAACGAAAACCACACATGGCAACAAATGATTTATTAAGCAACCAGGAGGCCCAGTGCACGAAATTCGTGCACAATGGGGGGAGGGGGAATCCCCTTCAGGCCCAGCCGCACCCTCTCCCCTTCTGGGACGCCTCAGGGGGATGTCCAAACTGCCCAGTTTTAGGACTGGTCCCTGGGGATTGGGCCTAAATTGGCAGTCAGACATCCTTCTCACAATCTGGGACTGCTGGCGCCTAACTGCTCACCTGCCTGATTGCCTGATCGTCCCTAACTGCCCCCCCTGTCAGCCTGATCACCCCTAACTGCCTCTGCCTGCTGCCCTGGTCATCCCCAACATGCCCCCCTCTGCCAGCCTGGTTGCTCCCAACTCTCCCCTCCCC